CCACTCACCTCAGCCTCCCAAAGGCACGGAATTACAGGCTGAGCCACTGAGCCCGGCTCATTTGTATTCCTAATCCTGAATTGTACCCCACATCTTTAAAATAAGAATAAAAAATAAAAGACACTCTTTGCCTCCCTTCTACTAGACAGGGTTTTCTGGATATGATGCCTGGAACTGCTCCAGCTAGCTCATGACCAAAAGGAAAACAAGTCTGGAGATGGGTCTGTACACTAATGAAGGCAGCGCATACGAATGGAAGGATGCCAGATCCTTGATGTCATTGAGCTGCTAAATTAGCCAATTCCAATTAAACCTGTCCTACCTCCGGCTTACTATTATGCAAGATAATACATATCTTTACTACTTAAGCCGATTGAATCAGGACTTCCTATTATTTGCAACCAAAGACCAACTACCATAGAACATGTGTTAATCACAGCAAAGCATTTGAGTTGACTCGTCATATCCTTGAGGATTTGAGGGAGAAATGTGGATTGAAGGGTAATTTAGTTTGATAGATTAGTAGATGATTAAATAACAGAGGAAGTCTTTAGTTGTGTATCTCAAAAATCATTTTGCCTGTAGCTTCTCCTGTTGGATGTGATCCTCAACAAGTGATAAACACATAGATGGCATAAAACATATCAGGGACTTAGCAGAGAAGGATAACTAATATCCTAGATGGCAGAATCAAAACTCAAAATATTTTTTTCCCAATAGCTCTATCCTACCCGAACTTTTTTTTTAACCAACTCTTACTCAACTCAGATGTCTTAGCTGTGAAACATTTACTTATCCCTGTCTCCTAAGCACAGTTTAACAAACACATCCAATCACACTCCTGGCCTTTGTATCTGCCACTACCAGAGCACCCACCACTCCTTGGTATTTATCTGTTTACTTACCTCTGTCTTTCAGCTGCTGGAAAACAGAAACCATGGCTTCCTCACTTTTCTGCCTGTGGCCCCATGGTGCTATTGCTGGAATAAACACATGCATGAATAAATAATCGAATGAATAACAAACTGAATGGAAGCCGGGAACAGTGGCTCATGCCTATAATCCCAGCACTTTAGGCAGCAGAAGCAAGATTCAAGGCCAACCTGGGCAACATAGAGAGACTATGTCTCTACAAAAAAAAAAAAGCTAGGCATGGTGGTGCACACCTGTGGTTGCAGTTACTTGGAAGGCTGAGGCGGAAGGATTGCTTGAGCCCAGCAGGATGAGTCTGCGGTGGCCGTGAGCGTGCCACTGCACTCCAGCCTGGGCAACAGAGTAAGACTCCAACTCAAAAAAAAAACTGAATGGATTGATTTAAAGAAACAGTGTAACTCCTTCGAAGTGAAAGTCAAGAATAAAATAAATAAAATTGGAAGTTAGTGGAAACTATTGAAGACCAGGAAAAATCTGAGTTCAGACACGATAATGTTGTACCCGAATCCTGAATCCCAGAGACCACCAAAGAACCAGCTCCGATGCAAATCACACGAGGGTCTTTATTCAGGCTCGAGTCTGGGCTCATGTCCGTAACCAGTGCAGCGGTACAGGAACGAGCGCCCCGACCCAGCGCAGCAAGCAGCTTATATACACAGTTAGTTACAAGGGAGGGGAAAGAACTTTAAACTTGTTCCCACATGATTGGGTAATTTCTCCTACTGGGTACGGGGGCGTTTGGGATTGGTTGGTTTGTATGGTCCGGGGTCACGGAAGACCGCGGTTGACCATCAATGGTCAGGCGGGCTGGGTGGAACCGGTTGGGACATCTGGAATGTGAGATTACTAGGGGAGTGAAGCGGGAAATGGGGCCAGAGGGTCTGCACCGTGACTCCGCGGTTTTCTTTTGGTATGTGAACTTGTTTACCAAAAGTATAGTACTGGGCTTGGGTGGGAAAGCAAGCATACATCCGAGTTTTAAAAACAAGTTTCAATATACATTCAAAATAAGCTTCAACTTACACTTAAAACAAGTTTCATCACACAGTTATGAACTAGATGGCCCTTGAGCTCCTCAATAACAACAAATTAAGAAATATTTCAGGAGGCTGTTTGCTGTCCTGGTGGAATCTCCCTGTCTTTCACTATTAGCTTGCTCACACTGTGTGTATATACATGCATAAATGTTACCCATGGGCACCATTTTTCACAGTCTTCAAGACTTTCTTTGTAAATGCACTGAATAGCTTGGGTTATACTTTAAACAACAATCACGGTGTATCTGCAGCTACTGTAGGAATCACTTGATGTTGAGAACCTGGAATTAAAATCAAATCCCTAGATAGTGTAATTTCCTCTTCCTTCAAGAGACTGCTGAAAATATTTTACTTTTTCTTTAATCTTAAAGATATGGGATACACTTCAGGATTAGGTATACAAGTGGTCATTGTACAGGTAAAGTTTGGTTCTCTCCCTTTGGGTCTCCATTTCACCTGGTTTAGGATCAAGTACCCATACTGATGTCACGTGCCGCGGCCCGGGCGCCCCCCCACACCGCCCCAGCAGTTTCTGGCTACTGCCAATCCCTTTCTTATACTATTATCCCTTAACCAGCAATCTCCCTACTGGGAATATACCTGGAGGAACTCAAATCATTCTATAGAGAAGACACCTGAGCATGCATGTTTATTGAAAACATTTTACTTTCTAGCACCACCCCATGTTATTTTTCACTCCTCATGCATGGAAACATGTTAAAACCTGAGATGTGAGATGTATGCTAACTCTTAATTCTACACAATTTTAATGTCAATTATACGATTTTTAGAAGACAACAATTTCTAGGACAGTATATATGCTGAGAATTAAAGAGTTATATCCAATTAACTTAAGGGGAAAATAGAGATGCATTGTTTTCAGAGAAGGCAAAATAAGCCAAAGGAATGATCTGCCAATGCTTGGCTTGAACTCAAAGTCCCACTCAAGAGAAATCAAAACAGGCTAATATAACAGTTGGTTAAATAGTAAAAAATCATCATATTAGAGTTTTATATCAGGATCAAAACAAGGCTCCAGGTTAACTCCTGTACATGGAATGCTCCCTCGGTGCTCATTCTTGAACTTTCTCGTTTAGATTGTACTATAAAATTAAACTGAGAACTGGCATAAAATCTGAACACTGGAAAATCTGAGTATCATCCCCAGAGAAAACAAATTTAAATTGTTACTTAGAACTTAGAGAGTGAGACTATAAAGCACTTGAGTGGTTATTTTCATCTAAGCTTAAATGATCCCGCCAAGTGGTCACTAGCCTCTGTTCCAGAAACCACCGCCTTCTTTGGCTCTAAGTGGAAATTGTTTATAAGAAATATAATGTCTGGAGACAACCAGGATAATAGCTTCTCTATGTCATGTCTTCTGTGATTCATAGGAGTCTTGTGCTTTGTTACAGGGTGTTAAATACAGAAGAGGAGAGATTGAGCATTACATAAAACCAAATGTATAAATGTGACCAAATTTGGGGAGGTATTCAAATATTAAATTTTAAAACTCTTTACAATAATAACTCACTGAGATCACACTATATGTGCTGCTATGTGTAAATCACATTTATCAGCATACACTAGAAAAATCTTACAATATCCTCTTAAGGCAGTTATAATTGAATGGTAAAGAGAAATGATTCTCCACCTACTTTCTACCACAAAATATCTGAAATGAACTATTCACACCACATTCCTATGGGTCTTGGGTCCAAGCTTGATGCCAAATGCAATGAAGCCAAGAAGTAGAGTCTGCAAATGGAAGTCTGCCCAGAGGGTAGATTCTGGAGGTTTTAAAATATGGCTCTAGGCTGGGTGCAGTGGCTCATGCCTGTAATCCCAGCACTTTCGGATGCTGAAGTAGGAGGGTGACTTGTGGCCAGGAATTCAAGACCAGCCTGGGAAATTTATAAAGACTTTGTCTCTACAAAAAATGTGCTTAAAAATCAGCGGGGTGTGTTGGCACCTCCTGATAGTCCCATCTGCTCAGGAGGCTGAGACAAGAGGATTGTTTGATCCCAGAAGTTAGAGGCTTCAGTGAGCTGTGATCGTGCCACTGCACTCCAGCCCAGGCAATAGAGCAAGACACAAGCAAGACACTGTGTCTAAATATATCTAATATATATTCCATATGATATATAATATAAAATATATATTATACATTTCTTATATATATTATATATAATATGGAAGTCTGGCAATAGGGTAAATTCCAGGGGTTTTAAAATATGGCTCCAGGCTGGGCACGGTACATATATAAATATATATATTTCGATGTATTATTATGCAATATATATTTTATATATTTGTATATGTAATATATTTATATATATTATAGTTCCAAATTCCTTGACATTCCTCCTCTCCTGATGTGAGGACATTGTCTCCACTCCATGAATTTAGTCAGACTTGTGACTGCTTCAACAGTAGAATAGAGTCAAAGTGACACTGGGTGACTTCTAAGGCTAGGTCAGAAAAGGTCATGCAGTTTCCACCTGGTTCTCTGAATTCCTGCTCTCTGGATGCTTCCTTTCAGGAAACTCCCTTTGGGACCCCTAAATGCCAGTTGTGAGAAGATACACGGAGAGGCCATGCAGAGGTGTTCTGGTTAATAGTCCCAGCTGAGCCCTCCTTTGGGGTCATTCCAGCTAGAATGCATAGATGTGAGAGAAGAAGTCTCTAGATCAGTGGCTGCCAAATTTTAGAGTGCATCAGAGTTAACTGGAGGGCTTGTTAAAACGCAGATTACCCAGGTCCACCTTTAGAGTTTCTGATGCAGTCGTTTCCTGGTGATCTGGAGTCCACACTTTGAGAACCACTGCTCTAGGTGATTCAAGACACCAGCCGTTGATAAAACCCCAACTCCGTGGAGCATAGATAGGCCATGCCTGCTGTGTGCTGTCTGGAGGCCTGGTGCACAAAATCCAGAAATTATTTTACCTTTTTCCATTTAAGAAGGTATATTTAGAATGAAGTAAAATGGCATTATAAGAAACTTCTAATTCATTCTGATGACTTTTAAAAAAATTTTTATTATAAAGATGCAGGGTTAGATATACAAACATTGATCTTGCAGGTACCCTTGTTGATGAGGAATGCCCCTCCCTCCCTAGCAGTTTCCCTCAACTGCAAATCCCACCCCTCCCTCCCTTAACAGTTTCTCACTACTGCCAGTCGCTTTCTTATGGCATTATAATTGTTCAAGGTCCGTTTATGAGTGAGAACATATGGAAGTTTGTTCTTTGTTTCTGTGATAAATCACTGAGTATGATCAACTTCAAATCCATCCAAGTTGCTGCAAAATCCATGTATTTGTCCTTCTTTATGACCGCATGATATTCCATTGTGTGTATGTACCACATTTTCTTTTTATCCGGTTCAGCTTCAATGGGCAACACAATTGGTTCCATGTTTTTGCTATTGTAAATAGAGCTGCAACAAACATACATGTGCAGGCATCTTTTTTGTAGGATGATTTGAGTTCCTCCAGGTATATTCCCAATAGGGGAATTGCTGGGTCATATGGAAGGTCAATTTCTTGTTCTTTCAGATACTGCCACATTGTCTTCCAAAGACGTTGTACAAGTTTGCAGTCTCACCAGCAATGTAGAAGCGTTTCTTTTTCTCCACATCCTCGCCAGCACATTCTAATGACTTAAAGTTCAGGATTCTAAACTTTCGTTCTTTAACGATTAGCTTTAATTACTCATATGATGCAACAACTCTCACAAGTGATTACAAGATGTCACTGCTCAGTCACCACAGCTGGGAGCATCCTCTGTTTAGAATAACGGGATTTGGAATCAGTCAGAACTGGATTTGAATCTCACCTCTGCTAGTGACAGACTAGCCAGTGGAGTGTTGTGCCTGGTTTGAATACGGTTCTGCCACCTTCTAGCTGTGTGTGACCTGAAGCGAAATATTTAACCTTTCCAAGCCTCCATTTCTCTTTTGCTTAAAGGGCTTGAGCAGAGTGCTGTGGTCATTAAGTGAGATAACGACCT